ATTTACTTCTAAACGCGCCGTTAGCCCGAATGATTATTATATCAGTTAATAACTCAACAAGCTCTACAAATTGGTATCACTAAAATTTTAAAAGCGATTGATCAATCCTGTGCCTTCCCTCATCAGCCTACGTTGTCAAGAAGATTTCGTACTCACTCTAACCACTCATTTCATTTATTTACGGCTTTTTCATATCCCATATACTTGCAAGCAAAATTAACAGCATATTTGCGACCAGTAGACAAAACTGCATCGAATGGCGTATTTAGTAGGGTGTTAGTAGTGCGAACAACAAAATTTCATCGAAAATTTTCTCTGTTGGGTGGGAGTGAATGTGAAATCTTTTTGACAATATTTTACCTATGGATTTTTTCAAACTTCATCACGATCAGTTCTTTTGAAAAAGAATGCCACATTAACCAGATCTAGAAAGCATTTTCAACTGAACTATCAGAAGATGTACTATTATTACTAGCGTTAGTATACATTATGTACTCAGTAAAAAGAGAAAAATAGAAAAGTATGCTAGTGAAATAGAAATTTAAAATAGTTGCGGCTAATACTCTCTTATTTTCAGTCGTGATCAAGAGTTTATTACAATTAGGAGAATTAAAATTTTACAATATACAAATTTTCTATCTATTGATTCGGGTTATCGTCAGCATTTATCTTGTAACTGCAAAGTAAAATACGAAATGCAGTTAAACATATACATACCCCTTCTTTCTTTCATTTTCTTGTAACGAAGCAACTAATTTTCTTCTTTTTTCTTACAAAACCGAGGGAACCACAAGAGAAACAGAATCTTTGTGAAAATTTTCATCTACTGTCAACACCGAGAGAGAATGGTCTATCATTGACTAGAGTCGATCGTCCTAATTTGATCTCATCTTTTTTTACTTTTAGCATTTTCTAAATTCAAAAGTCAAATTTAAATTTGAGAATGAACAAGGACTTTTACTATGAAAGCTGTGAACATAGGTTTTATGGTGGCTAAATATAAATCGGAAAAAGTATTGGGATTTGCCTCGGATGAGGTACCACTATATGAAAATGAAATTGTCTGGAAAACCTTTCAATAATTTATTTTTTCAACTTGCGAAACATGCTTAAAATGAGCAAAAAGTCGCAAATTCAAATCTGTAAACGTCAAGCCACACGTGTTCACTTTAAAACAAAACTAAACCTAACTCTCTATCATCTGTCTGAAATTGAAACTCGTGTACGTGGCGAAGGTCTCACTTTGACCCTTGTTATGACGACATTTTGTGAATAAAGCTAGAAAAATTTCATTGTCTTAATAAAATGTCTGCCTCGATAAAACAGAAAAATTAAAAGGACTTTTCGTGCATTTTTCGTAATATTTTAAATTTTTGTCATACGTTGAATAACCCCAAGTAAAGCATGTAACTGTGAAGCAAAACAACAGTGCTTACGCATGATGTCTAAACCAATTATTATGCATGTGTGATCACAGAAATCTGAATTACATTCAAGTGACATTAAAGGTCATCATCTTAATCACGCTGACGCACAGTGAGTATTCAGTTTTAATTAAAAACTCACAGCTCAATAAACTGTAGAATTATCTTTCTTACAGTCTAAGATATAATCGGCGTCGAAGTTTTCAAAGTGACTTTTGCGTCTGACTGCAGTGGGGGGAAACCTTAATATGAATAAGTTTTATGAATTCAAAAAGCGGCTTTATTGAATGTGGATTCCACATGCTCAAACGCTCTTTTGGAGGTAGTATTGTGTGAGTCCTCTAAACAGCGTGAATTCTCATAGTCGCCTCTCGGTACACCTTAGCGAAAGAGTTGTTTTTGACACAGACACATTTTATTTATTTCTCAATAACTGTCCACTAATTCTACATGATCAAGTATAAAAGTGATTTTCCTTACTTCTGGAGTAATTTTCTTTTTCTTGATCATCGTCATTATTCAATGTTTTACTTATTCTTATGATAAATTCTTGCTTTTATGAAACTGCTGATGGCATTACTCTTCTTCTGGAACGTTCAGTTCTCGCTTTTTCAAAACAACCGAGTTGTGGTTCTTTCCAAACTGGGATCTGAACCACAGTTCCAGTCAGCTCGAAGAATCAAGAACCGCGGCTCTTCTCTTTTTCTTGAAAACATTGAATGATATTTTTTTAGTTTGGGCAACTATTATTCAACTCTTCAGACGCGAAAGAGTTTGTTTCCGCCTACGTCGTCATTATCTGGAACAAATGTTTTTTTAATAACTTTGCTACAAGACAGATAGAGACTTTATTCACAGTATGTAATAAAAGTCAATATCTTCTCCATTTCATTGAAGTAAAGTTTTATGTCCATCAATGTTTAATTGAAAATGGCGATTATTGTTGAAAAATAGCGTCCTATTTCTGACGAAAAGCTACTTTAACTAGGCGAGGAAGCAAAATATTTGGGGTTGCTTTGATACCATTCGAAAGAGGACAGGCTAATTTTGTAAAACTTCGCTAATTCTAATTAATTAGGAAAATATTTTGAAAAACTTTTATTTTCACATAGATTTGTTGCCCAACTGTTCTCTTTCGATTGGCGAAAACCCCAGATCGCTAGATTTGTTGTTATAAAATTCTTCAAAAAACATCCACCTGCACGGTTCATTGAAATGGATAGTAGATGAAATAATCCGTTTTTGATTATTTTCATCAAAAAATAAAAAAAATTCATAACTCACTGCCCCAACTGATTCAGCGCTTTCTAGCTGATATTTTGCCCATAAGTAGGGCTCGGTGGGACTAAGAAAAATCTAAAACCGTTCGTGCCCATGGCCTGTTCGTCAAAAGTTATAAACGTTTTACTGAATTTTCGATCTAGGGCAAGGTATTCACAACAAAATCAAATGAAGATATTTCGATCTGAAATTCTGTCCATAAATAGATCTAATCACTTCTAGCATGCACCAAAATTTTCAGCCAAAACGGATACTTTGTTCTTGAGATATTGAATTTTCAAAAAACGCCAACTCCTGTGGACTCTGTTATAAGTGGGAATTTTTTGAAAAGTCAATATTAACCACTTTTCAGTTCGTTTTGTCTACAAAATGGTATCATTAGACAGTATGTAGTGGACTGGAAGAATAAAAAATACTTACAGGCTGATTTTTTGCTTGCGAATCTTGAAATCTTCGAATTCTATAATTGTGGGATCTTTTAATCTTGGAATCCTCCGATTCTGAAATTCTTCTATCATAACGCACCTATACTTGTATGTGTAAGACGCATTGGCATGTATGATGCATATATATATAGACGCCAAGATACCCGCTAAGCGGTGTGCTACGCCTAATGTCTGAACTAGGAAAAATAGGTTAGTAGGTTATGCTCGTCAAAAATCCGTCTCTCGGTCGGAATGGGAAAACTACATCCCTCAAAAAATACCAAGCGACCGTCGATACTTTCGACTCAGTCCAGCTAGTGCGTCAAGTATTTGTTTCCGACACGATTGGTATACACATCAACATTTTTTAAACCGCTCCGACCCGTAGACCGCAGCCCGTGACGATTTTCATTGTCCGTGGAGCCATTTGAAATTCTTGAATAAAATACGTTTAATTTTTTTGCTAAAAGTAATGTTTGAATACCGATTATGGCGGTGGATAATGCGCCAAAATAAACTCATTCGATAGGCAAGAAAATGTGCTTCTTTATTAATAGCCATGAATATAAATGTAATCGATGGAATGCCGAGTAGAACGAGACTGGTCACTGGTATTAAAACTGTTCGGAGGATAGCATGCTCTCTTTTAATTTTGATCAACCTAATTGGAGACCGTAGACGACGCACACGATACACATGATTGCAAGTGTATTAGAGAATTGTATGTGGCAATAATAGAGGTTTGGTAATTCGCGCATGTATTTGAAAAACGGCAAAATAACTGACTACAAACGAGACTATCCGCTGAATAACGGCAACGACCAGATGTGGCAAAGATTTCCGTTGATAAAATAACCGAAACAGTCTATTAACAGCCTGAGCGCAATAAGAGTTAAACAGCGTGTATCCTCCAGCCGGAAATAGATAACCTCGTACGTTACATAATATGTCGTAGTTACGTGTTACACCAGGCGTGAAGTCGTTCTTGTTAGGCTCCCGGATGAACTCAGATCTTTCTCATCTAACGTTTATTTACAAATAGAAAAAGATCCCTCTTAACAATAAAATTGATGTATTTATATAAGAAATATCGCGCGATAATCTTGAGTAGACTCTACGCAATAACCTTGAATATATTCTTGCACCATAGCATTGGGTATTCTTGCACCATAACCTTGAATATATTGTTGCGCAATAACTTAGACTATATGTCTGCGCAATAACCTTTACTATGATCTTCTCCCTTATGGCATGACTCTAGTACGTGACATAACATCTCCCCCCATGCAACAAGATGAACTTCCACGTTCATCGAAATTTAAATGCCTCTTGAAGGTCCTTTTGATGTTCAATGTTCTAGTACTGTCACTACCATTATAATTGAGAAAACGTTTCGATTTGAGCACGTTCGTTTCAGCAAACTGAAATCCAGGATTTGCCCCCATCATGGTTGGTTTTCCCTTTGTTTGTATTTTAATATTATCACTATTGGAGTTTGATCAATCATTCACGAAGCTGCCACCAGCATGATTCATTAGACCAATACCACTATTTACCAGCTAAAATAGTTTCAACACTTTCTAATAACTAAATACATAATTATGTGGATAACCGTGGGCCCGTAAGCAGTTGAAATGCCGGTGTTGTTTTTGTTTATGGCACCATATACGGCCATAGCCAATCCCAATGTCCAGATGTATCTTCAATATTGGTGTAACCGAACAATCCACCATCTTGTTTGGCATGTCTAACCTTAATTCCCACACGAATAATTGCCACAATTAATTGAATAAGATGTTCAGAATCACCAGCTATCGATAGTATGAGTCTCCGTAACAATCGACCACCTAAAACTGAAGATTGTTTTGTTGACTGTTGTTCAATAGCTGTTTGTGTTGGTTTTTGAAGCCATGAATGTCGTTGTTGTTGTTTGCGATTTTGTACTTGTGGTTTCAATAATTTGTGTTCCACTTCGCGTTGATTTTCCTGATGGTTATGATTATTTATTGTTAATTGTGTTATTTCGTGTTGTTCACTACCAGCTGTTATCATTTGTTTATGCTTTGCGGAATCATGTGAATGAAATGGTATTGATCGAATAAATCGCTGACGTTGTTGTTTTATGTCATGGTAAAACCATACCTCAGCATCTTCAGGCCACATAATTTCTTCCCCTGGGAACAAACTGGAAGTTGACTCTTCACATGATGAATTCTTTTTCTTTGCCAATATTTTTTCCCGTGTTAGGTCGTATACCAAAAATAAATACACATGGCTACATGTAACGGATGGAGAACTGTCCAACCACGAAATTTATTCCAAGAGTCAGACCGCCTTATACGGCGTACATCTCTAACTTACTTCTCATACTATCAGTTTCACTACTGTGTCTCATCCTCTCCATAACAAAACGCCAGTTCCCTACGAAGCTTGTAATACAGTTTCATATCCTAATCGAATGGATATGAAAACGTCGAAGGAAAAGATATCGAAAAATAAATGCCGAAGCATTTTTGGTCGAAGAAAAAAATGTCGATCATATAAAACGTCGAAAATTTTAAAATGTCATTATTACACAATATTGATTCTCTTTTGTTTTCATTTCTTTTCTACTGTTCATTAGAATTCGCCGATTAGCTAATAGTTTTCCCCAATAAGTTATTGTGCGAGCGAACATTCTAGAATAGACATCGAGCAAAGATAGGAAATATCTTTTCTTGATTCCAACAAAGGTTATCGACGATTAACCGATATTTGGGCGACCCCGACATTTGACCGACCGACATGAAACCTGAGAGAAGTTGGGTTGTGAATAGTTATTGTGTGATCCAGTTACAGATGCACAGTTTCGCATGATGAAAATATGTTTTGTGTGAGACTACTTTTAGAACTCACTCTCACACTGCCCACACCCCCACCTCCCACGACACACTGCCAAAAAACATTAATAACGTGATTTATTACTTTTTTATAGTTATAATTTTAATCATCAATACATCTGTTTTTCTCTTTGTTGAATAAAATAAAATTTTTACCTTTCTGATTCATTATCCATTCTTTCAACATTTTTTTCATCGACTTTTTTTGCTTCGATGTTTTTTCCGTCGTTTGTTTTTCGACATTTCTTTTTCGATAGTTTTTCCTTCGATATTTATTTTTTGATATTTATTTTTCAACATGTTTTCCTTCAACATTTTTTCTTTCGACGTTTTCAATGCATACCTCCTAATCTTCTGCCTTTTATGACCTTCTCCCCATTCCTTTCCATATGCTCTGATTAGCTCGTATTCTAATCTACTCACTCTCTGACTTTCTGAGGAATATCCCGTCAGAATATTCGTGTAAGGTGCAACAAAGATTGTCTTTAGCATAATACCGAGAGCATACACATTTCATCTTTTCATACATAAGCTGAAAGGTGATTTAGTACGGTTTTTTAGTACATGATATTGTACTCCAACTCACTTACACTTAATCTGATCAGCCAGAAAATCTGATCAAAAATATATAAGTCAACTAACGTGCTCGAATCCAGCATTGCTCATCAGCTTTTTCAATAATTTCAGAAAACTTAAAATATCACAAAGTCATGTAAAACGGGAAATGTGAAAGTAACTTGAAAGGAGCGACGGAGAACATCAGAAAGCCACAAAATTATGTAACTCAGTACATATCGCTTGACTCTTGGAACATAGTTCTAAGCGTAAAACGACTCTCGGAAGAAATTCTAACAAAATCTGGCCGAGCTATGAAATTTTTAAATTTGGTTTAAGCTTTAATCTTGAACCAGAACGAAATCGAGAATATAAATTCCCATTATATCATTCTGAAACTTAAACTATCAAAACACAAAATCAATCCTTGCACGAAGCTAGAATCGAACACACGA